TTACATATAAAAAATTATTAAAATTTTAATTTAATTATACGTTTTAATGCATTTATTGCAATCCTGAATTTGAGTAAAGTAATTTTCAACCATACGCATAAAACTTTTGAGGTTCGAAAATGGTTCGAATACTAAAATACAATATACTGAAATCTACAGGCTTAACTTCAGCTTTAACTGATGTCAGCTTCTTTAATTTTCAAATATGTTCAATTTTTGTATGTATTTTCACAAAAAAAAAAAATATTTTCAAAAAAAAAAACAAAAAAAAATTATTTAAAAAAATTATTTCCACAAAACAAAGTTGTTATTTTCAAAATTGATAAAAACGTAAATTTGTTTGTTCTTGTGTGTGTTTTCAGGTTGGTATGCGCCTGTTGGAAGTCAACGGCCACTCGTTGTTGGGCATCTCACATCAGGACGCTGTGAATGTGCTGCGCAATGCTGGCAATGAAATTCATTTGATCGCGTGCAAGGGATACGACAAATCCAATTTAATTCATTCCATTGGGGCTGCTGGCGGCATGAGCACAGGCTTCAACACAACAGGCAGTCGACAAGGTATGGTACACTTCTATTTACATATGCCCCGTTGTATGTGTGTTATTGTGGCAAAATCGAATCTGCTGGACGCCCTAGTGCGTTGCAATAAATTCCTTTCGGCAGCACAGTCACTACTACTACACACCTTTCATTTGCACATTTGTTGCTTTAGCACAACAAACATAACAAAATTTAATTTCAATTTGGTTTTATTTTATTTGCCTGCTGCTAGGTTCGCGTGCTTCCGAAACCGGTTCGGAGCTGAGCCAAAGTCAGAGCATGTCGAGTTTGGACCGCGACGAAGATGAGCGCATACGACAAGTGAGTGTGAATGGAATTTAAAATTACTTACTAATATTAGTTCTACATAATATGCTAACAGCCGGTTTCACGAACCTAATTTAAGTGAAAAATAATTCATTTCATTTTCACCATTTATTTAATTTTTATTTTAATGGCAATGTTTTGCCATAAATAAATATTGCTTAAATACGGTCATATGCAACTATATTTACGCTTTGCTATCAGCTGATTTGGCAAATAAATACAATTTATTTGTTTACATAAATAAGCTGTTACTCTTACTAACATCCCTGCCTTACAATTTTACAAAATTAAATTTACCGTACGATTCTGTACTGTGGTACAAGTCTCTAAATTTCAGATAATAAAAATTATATCAAATTTGAGGCAATATTTTGAGACTAAAGCCAGAGACTGTTTAGTGAATAGTAACTAGTCACAAATTGAGATCTTACCTCAAAATGTCTCAAATAGAGACTGGAGACTGGTTACAGAATCTCGCTATAAATTTAACTTAAGGGAGAAAGAAGCCCGAATTTTAGGTGTTTTTTGACGTGATAAAAAAAAATCAAAAATTATTTTGACTCTCCATTTTTTTACATGCTTTTTATTGATATTTTAAGAATACAAAACATAAATAATATAAGAAAAAAAATTAAATTTAAAAAAATCTCAGGTCGGCCAAGTAGAAACTGATGAAACAATGGCTTGTCCTTGTGTACATGATATAAATCCTTTCCGTGACCTAAAATGGGACATTTTCTTGAAGGGTTGTACTATAAACATATGCAAAAAAAAATCGATATTTTCGAATTTCTAAACCAAAATACCCCCTTCATTTTCAATTAAAAGTTTTCGTCAAACAAGGCTATAAGACTAAACCTTGAAAACATAATAATATTAATTGTACTTAATGGTGAAAAGAATGTGGAGCTACTCTTTAATAACTTTTGAAATATTTCTTCCCTTCCAAGGATTTTGAAGTTTTTACACCGAAAACCGAATCGAATAACGACCCATCAGTATTGGCATCTGTGGCGGCATTGGCCCACTCGCCCACCACACCGCCGAGCGCTGGCGCTTTGCCGCAACAGCATGCAGCTGAAAGCGAAACATCCAAGAGCAGTGCTCCACCACCAACAGCAACAACTCCTCAAGATGCACTCGCCACATTTGCTAATGCAGACAAAACGCTGGTGCAGTCTAAAGAGAAGAGTACCCCCGAGAAGGTATTACAATCGCATAATTCTCGCGCCTATATTGACACTGACTGACTTAATATGTTTTCTTTACTTTTCCATTTATTCTTTATTGGTGTAGGTGCTTGAAATCGTGCGTGCCGCAGATGCATTTACGTCAGTTCCACCCAAGTCGCCAGCCGAACATCATGATCAGGATAAAATTCAAAAGACCACAACAGTTGTCATTTCGAAACATACACTCGACACAAATCCGTCGCCTGCGTTGGCAGCTGCCTCAACCCCAACTCACACGTCGCCAACAACATTGCCCACTGCGGGCACAACCGCGTCCACAACCACAACACCACCTGTCTCGCCAGCGTTGGTCACAGCCAGCAGCCGAGATGTTGCTGCGGCAGCAAGTGGCAAAACTGTGGCCGCGCCACCGACTCAGCAACAGGTATGTTGATGACAGTTTATAGACATTTTGCATTTGTTTGTTATTAGGCTTAACATGCATCCCAGTACCATAATCCTTGTGTTGTCATGTGCGTGTCGAACAATAACATTTACTCTCAGTTCTTTGTGTTGTGTTCATGTACCCCACCAACGAAAAAAAACCAAAAAAAAAACAAAATAAATAAATAAATAAATAAAAATCACCAAAACCACACACAGACATACATATATGTACTCATACTGAAACATTGCTAACAACTTCAAACTGTGTTCAAACAAATATCTCACCTGTTCTCCAAAGAATTTTCACATTTTCTCTTTTTGTTTTGCATTGGTATGTTATTTTCCCGTTGTTTGTGTTGCTAATTTTTATTTGAAAGCGGATTGTTGATGTTCAGCGGAAAAGTTGCCCAGTTGAACACGTGTTAATATGTGTCAACAATAACTATGAATCTATATGTACATACACATGCCTAGGTGGGCATTACAGTGCCGCAAATGTTTCATACTTATGTATGTATATGCATATGTCTGCCTTTATGTACATGCATGTGTATTTAATTTTTTATGAATTAAATAAACTTTCATAAATTTTTATAAAACTATGCGACTAAAGTTTTCATAAAGGCCTAATATATTAATTAGTTTAACTACAAACAATTTTTGTCTCGTTCTATGAGCTATCGGTCACTTGTCATCTTTAGAAAAAACTGGGTTCACTCATACTTTTTGTGTTTTTGGTAGATTTTTTCCCATCATTGTCATTGCAGATTTTTGATTTTCGCTTTACTGCAGATTTTTGGTGCAGTGTTGATTTCTGGGTATATGTATATAGAAAATGGGTTAATAAAGATATCGATTGCATTAGCATACGTAATTCGTCAAATATTATTGAGTTTTATGCCAAAAAAATAATCCCTAAATAATAAGCGCAATCAATCAAGTTTTAGCTATAATTACACCCTAACACGTTATATTGAGTTTGTCACTTAGTTTGTAATGTATGTTAGTACTCTGACAGAAACGTCGGAAACCCTGTAAAGTATGATCAATGAGACGAACATATTCGATTTAGCTATGTCCGTATGTAATCAAACTCAGGCTACTCGTCGCATTCTACTCTGGCCACCGGCAAGCTAAAGAAGCGGCGACAGGAAGCCTGAAACTCCAGAACACCTGCTAATTGACAACATAGCAGTCTGCAGACGCGTGTTAAAGGTTCTTGGATCCATGCTTACTAATAGCGGTCACATCGCTTTACTGGTACTTAGCAGTATATTGAAATTTATCAATGCCCTGGGGCTAGGTGGGTCCTTGTGATAGAGGAGATGGCACAATAGACTCAAGGTCGCAGTACAATCCTCATCTTCTTATCTTATCTTATCTTAGCTATGCTCGACTGTTTATCTTTTGCTCGTCTATATATACGCCAATTAGTCTCTCAGTTTTTGAGATATTGCTTGAACGCGGTCTTATCTCTCCAAAAAGCTGGTAATTAATCTGAACCGCCGATATCGGACCACTATAGCATCAAGCTGTCATACAAACTGACCAATCAAAATCAAGTTCTTGTTTAGAAAACTTTTTTTTTTTTGTTTTGTTTTGACAATATATCTTCACGAAATTTGGCGTATGTTTTTAGCTAAGGCAATAATCCAATCTTCTAAGAAATTGTTCACATCGGACCACTATAACATATACTGTCGTACAAAGTGATCAATCAAATTAAATATAAACATCTTTTTGTGATATAAAAATGCACCAGTGAAGCATATTAGAGGTTCGGTTCTGCAAACGTTAATGTTTTTTAATAATCCCTATTTCTAAGGTCCTAAATAATTTTTTCGGATATTATTCAATAAAATATTTACTATACCATTTTAAGCAAAAAATATCCCGGTCTTAAAGTATTAATTTTAACTAAAATACTGTCAATGTTTCATGCTACTCAATTTATTGACCCCAAAGTGACGGTTGCTCAGCTAGTTTAGCTTGTGATATAACAACTCAACTGAAAGATTGATATTATTTTTCAAATCTCTGGAGTGTCAACATATTTCTTGGGAACATGTCTCTAATATGAAAAATTACTTCACTCAGCTTAGATTTTTTACACGATTCGAAAGCGATCTTATAATGACATTCTTACAATGTTAGTCTTTACAATGTTCCCTATAGCGCTAAAAATATATGAAAAATATTTTATTTATTAATTTATCTGTGCAACATGTCATCTTGATCATCTTATAAAATAGTTCAAAATATTTTTGAAACACTATTTCGAGCTTCTTTTGCAATGTCACATTTTACTGCCATCAGTTCATTAAAAAATTATACGCGTAAATAGTTCAAACTGCATCAACGATATAGAGTAGATAACTACTACTACTAGCTACTTGCTCGACATATTAAAACGTTTTCCAACACTGGTACTAAACCATTTTCAGTACTTTTGGTTATATCTCTTGCTTTCCGGACTAATATTGGGGCATATACACAGTTGTAATTAATAAATAACTTTTGGCAGGTAATTCTAAGGCAATATTAATTAATTTTAAGCAAATAATAATGAAAGTATGTGTAATTATCTGCAAATATTAGGGAAAACAGTTGAAGTGAAAAACGGTGCTGTAAGAAATTTGTTTAAGTAGGCAACAATAAGCGAGTATGGCGGTTTAAATATAAAAAAGTAAACATTGCAATTTGGAATTGTATAAAATTTATTAATTTTTTGTTGTAAATTTCAATATCTATCTGTTTAATTAAAAAAAAAATGGCAATAAATTAATTTAACCAATTTTAGCAAGGAAAATTTG